GGTTGGAACTTTAATAGTGGCAACACAGCTGAAAAAACGCTACGCAACAAAACCAAAGAATATTGTGTATACTACACGTAAACTACATACCTACCTTACCTCTCAGCAAAAAGACTCGTCCTGCCTACATCACGTGCATGCGGAGTGACGCGAAGAACGAATCCTTGTATTAGCTCGCGGTCTAAAGTAAGTGTTGTCAGGATGTTTTCAAAACAAGAATGAAGATGTTGGATAAAATTGAATGTGCCAGAGGTCGTACAGCACGACAGTTTCATCAAGGGCTTCAAGAGGCTTGCGGGGAATCTGCATTGCCTTACAGAACCATAGCAAGATGGGTGAAAGCATTCAATGAAGGACGGCAAAACGTGGCAGACATGCTGCAGCCAGGTCATCTGAGTGTCAGCGATGCAGACGTGCGAGCTGTCGCCACACTAATGGACAGTGATCAGCGCCAAACGATTCGTCAGCTGGCCGGACAAACAGGATTAGTGCATACAACTGTGCTGCACATTCTGAAGGAATGCCTGTCCATGAGAAAAATTGCTTCACGATGGGTTCCACATCAATTGACGGAAATGCAGAAATGGCTACGATACGATGCTGCCCGAACCCACCTGGAGCGCTATGAGCGGGAAGGAGATGCTTTTTGACGCCGTATCATTACGCTGGATGAGACTTGGGCCCGATCATACCAGCCAGAACTGAAACACCAATTAAACGAATGGCGTCATCACGGGTCACCACGACATTCGAAATTTCGTCAGAACTCCAGCAATGTGAAAGTTATGGTGATTCTCGTGTACGACTGTGATGGTGTCATCCTAACGCATACTGTTCCCCCACAGCAGATCATCACTGCACAGTATTACTGCTCATTTTTGGAGCACAATCTCTGACCAGCTTTGAGAAAAAAACGGCAGCACTTTCTGCAGAACGCTTCTCTCTCATTTTGCATGACAATGCTCGGCCGCATGCAGCGCAAGCTGTGACTGATTTGTTCAAGCGATGGGGAGGGAAGTGCTTTACCATCCACCCTACTCCCCAGATCTAAGCCCTTGTGACTATGACTTAATTCCTAAGATGAAGGAACCACTTCGTGGTACTCGCTTCCAAACTGTTCCCGAGATTCTTGCGGCAGTAGACCGGTTCATTCAAACTATCAACAAAATAGGCGCTGCTACAGGTATTCTGCGACTTCCACATCGTTGGAAACGGGTTGTACACAATGCTGGCGACTATATTGTAGGACTGTAAAACATGGTGACATGAATCACTTTTGTATTCCTTGTAAATAAATAGTTGCCACTATTAAAGTTCCAACCCTCGTATTAATAAAAAAGTTCTTTCTTATTCCTGTATGCCCACGCCCATGTGACAAGATTAGAACTATTTCTGTAATTTTCCTTTCTTGTATCTAGAGAATAGGAAAGAAAATAAAGGAAAGAGAAACATGTTAAGAGAAAGACTTATAGGATCAAAAACAAAAAATTATTAATTATAATTTAAAATAATTTTGTTTTCACTGTTCCTCCAAAATATAAGCAATTCATCACAAACTTTCTGTAAAACACATCCATTGCATCTTAATAAAATGAAGACACTTTTCATTTCGTCACATTTTTCTGGAATGTTTTGGTGGTGTGGTGTGGTGTATTTAATTATGGCAAAGCACACTAGAGCTATCTGCCTGCAGATAGCTCTAGTGTGCCTTCGTGGAGGACTTTCTAAGGGAAACTGGCTCGTATACATGTTACACATGGGGAAACCACGAAAACGCCCATGCAGCCAGCCCGCTCGCGAGATTCGAACCTCGGACCAAACTACCAGTGTTCAGCGACTTTGCCGCTCTGGAATGTTTTGGAATCATAGGTGTATAAGCCTTGCTTTTGAATCCTTCTACACCTTCAGAGGTGCAAGGTACAAAATTTGAAAGAATATAATTTCTACCAACCCTCTAAGAGCAAAAAGGTCAGACTTTTGGGAAAAATTTAAGAAAAAGAGAATTTTTGCAAATATCTAAATTAAAATTTTTATTTATAAATTGGTCTTAAAATTGCCAAAATGTTGCTAAATCCCCAAATCTAGCAATGCATAACAGAAGAATTCATATCCCCCAAAGGGAAAAGTTTTTCCGATGTAATATTTTATGAACCTAAAAAATAGGAAAACATTAGATTAGATTTTTAAACTATGCTTTTATTAGCATTTTAAATACAGACAGTATGGTTTAGATATTGTTTGAAAATTATACAGCCAAATATTTGAAGATAACAGATTTTTATGCAGGTGCCTCTTAAACTGTAAAATCTAATTTCTGAAATATTAAACAAATATAAAAGTGACTGTTGATAAAATAAGATACATCATCACCTTAACAGTTGTAGAGATTGACTATTAAAATAAATCAGGTAACATAAAGTGAATTCATATGTGCTTTGCCAAATAATGAGTATGAAATGAACTAATGCCTATCACAGAATTATAAGCAAAAGATAGTAAAATTCTGAAAATTTATAAAATGAAGGGGGAGGTAGCTTTAGGTGCCCTGAACAAATTCAGGCAGGTTAAAAGTTTACAGCATTCTATTATTAGAAGAAAAAGTTCCATAAGTCTGATGACTGCAGAAAGATTGGATTATTCAATTATGGCAAAGCACACGAGGGCTATCTGCCTAAAGGGAGGGATGCCTTCATGGAGGACTTTCTAAGGGAAACTGGCTCGTATACATGTTACACATGGGGAAAATTACGAAATTGCCATGCAGCCAGCCCGTTACCGGGATTCGAACCTCGGACCGAACTACCAGTGTTCAGCGTCTTTCCCGCTCGGCCGCTGGTGGGCCGATGACTGCAGAAAGAAAAAGCAGAAAATAAGCAAACAATTAAAATGGGACCTTTTTAAAAGAAATGGTTAATATTCGTGTTACACATGAGGGAAACTCCGAAAACTCCCATGAAGCCAACCGGTTTATTAGAATTTGAAACCAATTCAAACTACCAGGGTTCAGTGGTTTTACCATTTGGCTGCTTGTGGGCTTTTCTGAAATTTTAATATGATTCAGGTCACTAATTGCACATTATATAAATGATAATTTATTTATAATATAATATTTTAATAATAATATTAATTTTATAATAATTTATAATAATATTAATTATAATTTATTTACTAAATTTAACTCGCAGTCGGCACATTTATTCTTGTGCAAGAGATGTACTATTTATGTTGCACTAAAATGACAATATAAGACATCTCTGTACAGTAAGATACATGGCTTTCAGAATTTTTTATATTCTGACTTAATTTTCAAAGATTAAATTTAAATCAGTTCTTCCCCCTTTCATTTTAAGTATTGCATCCTAACAACTAAAATATATATCTTTAACGTTTTATGTCTCACACTGCATGAATTGATCAGCCTAGCAACTGCATGAATTGATCAGCCATATTTTCAAAGTTAAATTATCAAATTAGGAAAATCATTAAACAGCAGTATATCGTCAAATCTCATCATGCTCTAGATAAGCAGATTCATATTTATATTTCAGAAAAAATTATAGTTCAAATTTGGAAGATCTTCCTTATTAAGAGTCTAAGTGATGTATAGAGCTTTTGACCCTAGAGAAAACATAATGACCAGATGTCAATTGGGGAAAAAAATTAACTACCAATTTAATGTAACACCTCAAAGAAAAGTTTATCATCAGAAAGTTTTTCATATATAAAAACATCATACAAATATTCCCCCTTTTTTATCAATAAAAATAATGCCTACAACAATTTTTAGGGTGGTGTAAAATGAAACAGAAAGATACACAATCACTTTAGAGAAAGGACTGTAATGTTCATGTTACTGCCTAATTTCATCTTCACCATAAGCTTTTACTTTAGATGCAAACATTAGGGTATAGAAGTAAAGTTAGAAAATTTTTTGCAATCAAAATATCATAGAGCAGTGGTATTCAAACTATTGGTTGCTGACCCCATTGGGGGTTGAAAAAACTTATGGTGAGGTTGCAAGGTGGATATCAATCCTAAAAATTCTGAATTGATGGTATATAACTAAGGGACAAAGCTCTAATTAAGGTTGTGAAATTGCTTTTTGGGGTCATTTGCATTTTTAAGAAGTTGCACTGTTTGAATACTACTGTCATAGAGCGTTTCAAACAGTGCAAATAATAAGTAGTGCAAATAATAACAGTGTAAATAATAAGTGTTAATAAATACAAAATGTATTTTATTAACACTTAATGATATTAAAAACATTTGACACTAATAAAAATATTGTTACAAAATGTTATTAATATAAAACTGCTTTTTAGATCTAATTGGAAGAGATAAACATTGCAAAATTATAGGTTATTGCACCCAAAATTCATAATTTCATTTTATTCAAAATTTATATTACTTTTTTTGCCTAATTTTAACTTTCTAAATATTTTACTTGGCTTAAATTGATGAGAAATGCTTTTTTCATAATACTGAATGATAAATAAATAGATTTTACATATAATCGATCAGTTGCAACATTTATTTGATAATGGACAAGATTTTGCCACTAACTGGAAATAATACCACCTCTCCAAGTTTTTTTACATACTTAATACACCAGCTGCCATCTAATAGAATAAGTAAAAATCAATTTCTCCTAGCAGCTAGAAATATGTAAAAAAACATTCACTCCAAGCTCAATATGGAAATATAGTTTAGTGCAGTTAAAAAAATGTGATGTCTCTGATAGATTATTTGAAACATAACTTCTTATTCAGAAACTTTTTTTTTTTTTTTAATGATATAAAAATAACCTGGTTGACTTTTGAATACTTCTGAATTTTATCATTTGGCTCTTATTGATAGTTTAATCATGCCTATTAAAGCATACATTTAAATTTATTTTTCATTTGGCTCTAATTAATATGAAGTTTAATCACCCCTATTAGAGCATATTTAAGTTATTTTTCACCTTTGAAAATGAGAAAAAAAATGAACAACAAGACAACTTTTTAAAAAAGATTTTTCTTTCATTCCAAGACACATACTAAGTAATATACACTTCTTAATAAAAAAGCATTAACATAAAATATTGAAGAACAAAAGTCATTACTTTTATTTATACAATTCATTTTTAATTAGTCAGAATAATGGTCTTCCATTCTGGTCTGAATGAAGAAATTATGGTGAAGTATAATAGGTGAATTATTTCACATAGTGAAATATATAGGTCAAGCCATTTGCAATCTCAAATGTCCAGCAACAATGCCAAAATTAATGTTGAAATGCCTCTTATGATGTACCTACTTGTTGTTCTTCAGTTTTTTCCTCTTCGGGTACTTCTAAAACTCGAGGCCCATACAACAGCAAATACGCACAGTGCCAATCACCTAATTAGAAAATATAATGTATTTTTTTAACAAAAGTAAAGAATGCAAATTCACAATAGTTTGTTTTTTTTTTTTTTTTTTTTTTTTTTTTTTTTTTTTTTTTTTTTTTGTCCCAAATTTCTTCAGATGCATATACAAATAGGGTCACTAAGATAAATTCTGCTGGAATTGACCTTATTTATGATCACAACAAAATTTAGTACATACCCTGTTCAGATCATGTCGAAGGGGTTTATGCAAAAGAAAAAAAAAAGTGTAATTCATATTTTCATCACCAAACGGAGTTTTCAGTGGAATCATTACATAAATTTAAAAGAATAATATGACTGTACTATGAATAGCTAGCAATCAGAGCATGAAACTCATTTTACATTGACACTGACATTTTTGTTGTACTGTTTGCAGAACTGTTTTAATAAAATGGCAGCTACACAAAAGACTGCGAAAAGAGTCCACAATGGAAAATATGTTTGAATAAAAATGATAAAAAAACTGAATGGACTGGAAAGCAAGACATGTCATCAAAAATACGATGTCAGCTAACTTCAAAAGAAGATATGAACAAAATGGCTACCACTGCGGTTATCAAAGATACATATGCCTTAAATTCTTCAACAAAGACTTTAATGTACATCTCTAGATCTATGACATAAAAGAGACTACTGTTCATATAAGATATACACGGTGTAACAGCTAAACTACTGACAGCCACAGCAAGAGGTAATTTTATATATTGTTTTTCTGGTGTTAATAGTTGTTGATGACATATGGCAATGAACCTATAGACATTTTAAGTGCATTTAAATTTAATAGGAATGATGAATATACAGAATTGTTGTAAACAAAACACAGGAAAAGCAGGTGCATCAAATCTAACTATACAAATATATGGCATGGTTTTTTTCAGCAAATTATATTCCCAGATTCGTTTCTTTGAGGAACTGATATCTCAAAGTCCAGTTCAGTATATTGTTATATGAGGGCACATTACACTGAATTTCCCATGTTTATTGTTCTTGAAGGAACAAGAAAGCTTGGCTACCACTACCTCCATGCAAAATGGAACAAAATCTCATATGATCAAAAAATGAAGGTAACTGTTTTGTTTCAGACTTCAGTGAAGGTCATGTCATCTCCTGATGTTTCCCAGATGCTAGCCTTTCTTTTTCAAAACTTCAGTATCTGCAATTTCTGTGAAGATTTTAAAAGATCATGCGCACCACAGTACACTGTTTATGCGTCAACTGAAGGCTAGCATAAATGCAGAACTGCCTAGGAACAAAGACATACCTGCCTTATACCACCACTGATTGTACTGTGCTATTTCTTAATGTAACTGCTTGCTGAACACAAGCTGTAACTGTTAAAAAAAGGTCTTCCTTTTTTACTTACGGGTGTTGTACTTAAAATGCCACACTTTTTTTTTTACTTGGTCGAGAATTTTTTAAATAACTTTAAATCCCCTGGTCAATTTCTCATCCATGAACTGAACAATATACTTCGTTTCACTGATATATGTTAATTAGAAACAACTCCAGATAATACTGAGCAGAATTACTTTAGTTATAAACACTCTGGAGTTTATAAGCGATCTTCAGTTTATAAATAAAATCTTTTAAAATAAGTCAAGCAAATATATTAAAAACTTTTGCAAATAATATCTTATAAGAAGTTTACTTTGAAAAAGCTTACCAAAAATATAACAGAAAAATTAATTTAGATTCCAATACTAGTAAATAAAAAAAGCAGGGGTTTAAAAAAGGGGTGCATTAATATTAAAACAGTTTGGTACAAATTTTTACGTCCAGCCATTTTTAATAGACTCATAGAGACCAGCCATAATTGCTCATATTCAAAGTAAAAATATTTAAAAGAGAGTTTATTTTTTCTTGCAATTAAATAAAAGCTGTTAGAATTTTTGAAAAAAGGTTTTTGAATGAAATAGAACTTTAAATTTACCTCCTCCAGAAAGCTTTAATATTTCTTCAGATGTAACCATAGAGACATTATCATCATCACATTTGAACCACTCATCTAAATTTTTAAAATATTTATTTCAAAATTAATCTATAATTAAAACAGTCTAATAACGAAAATTGAGATTTTAAAAATATGATTTAAAAATGAGATTTAAAAATATATGCATAACAGTCTAGTAAACGTTTGCTATATGAAAATGCTGTAAATTCATTACTAGATGGTACCGAAATATAATTATTTTGTAACACACTGTATTGAAATATCTTTTATTAATTATATTAATTAAATATATTGTTAAAAATAAAGTTAAGAATCACAGTGTTGTTACAGATGGAAACAAAGTTATGATGTGATAACCAGGTAAGAGTAAGGTTTGTCCAGTTAATCAGAATACTATGTGTTATCAAGCTAAACTGATTTCTAAGAAATTGAAAGAAGTTGGAGAAGCAACCAAAGATGAAAATTTTGCAGGTAGTAATGTATGACTTAACTGATTTAAAACTCACTGTAACTGGCACAGCATCTTGGACACTGCAGATAAAGTGGCTAAGTCTCCTTTTCCTGGGACACCAAATGCTATGCGTGATAAAGAAAAGAACTATAGCAGCCAAATCATATTTGATGTGAATGAGACCAGCCTCTCCTAAAGAAAATGCCTAAAACAACTTTTATTGAGCATGAAGGGGGGAACATTTCAGGCTTTGAGGTTTTCAAAGATGGATTAACAGTGATAGTTAATGCAAATATAGATGCTGATTTCAAGTTAAAACTTGTTTTAATTTATACTTTGAAAATCCATTCTAAAAAAATATTCAAAAAGTGACCTGCCAGTGATTTGAAAATGAAATTCTAAAGCTCAGGTGAAAACAAGATGAAGATAAGATTTAAGGATATATATATTTATGAGAACTGATTTGATCACCACTTTATACCCAAAGTTAAATGTTACTTCCAGTTTAAACAAATTCTATTCAAAGTAATGCTTCTTATCAATAATGAACCAGATAAACCACCTACCACTTGAACTGATTTGAACTGACATGTGAAAGTTGCCCTCTCCTTTAAATGTAACCAGCTTGCTCCATCTGATGGGTCAAGGAGTCAACAAAACATTAAAGGCTTATTACATGAGAAAATCATATGCACATCTTAATACTAACTCTCATAACACATAACATTCACCTGATGAAATAAAAAATAATTTAAAAAAAAAAAAAACCTTAAATGTTGCATAGAGGAAAATTTGTCTTTTCTTTTTCAAAGGTGAGAGGAAGACAACACCTAAAATTGATCAGGTCATTCATGGAACAGAAAGTGTAAATTTTTTGCAGGCAACTAGATTTGGAAGTTTAAAGTGATAAACTCAATGAGTTGTTAGACTCACATACCAAACAGCTGACAAACAACAACCTTAGCAAATCTGTGAACAAATCACTATAGAAAAAGACAAAACCTCAAACCCAGATCCATCAAAAAGTATATGACAACTGAAAGCTTGACAGAAGGTCTTGGGTTAACTGGAAAAGAGTTACAAATTTTGAAGACTATAGATTTGAATGAGAAATATCTTCCACGAGGTGGATAATCAGCAACTACGAATATGTTTGCAAGTATAGAAAAACTGGACATTTTGTAGGCCAAACACAGAGCAGTAAACTGTCTGTCACAGAGTTTCTTTAGCATTTCATTTGATTTTACAAAGTTCAATTCTAACACACTTTTAATGAAATGAAATATTATTTCACACAGTAATAATTACATTCTTGATAGTTTAGGGTAATTTTTTCATTTAGTTACTATCCCTTGAAATCATCTTTTTAAAGGATAATTATGTTTTAAGAATATAAAAGAAATGGAAATTTATATTTATTAGCAAAAATAGATTAAATGAACATAAGGCAACTTTGTTATGTTTATATTATTTTATTTGTATTATATTTTTTAATAATCAGAACTAAAAGAAACACTTTGAAAAAGAAATTACAAAATTTTCAACAATTTAAAAAAAGAGAAGAGAAAATACTTACATTTGCAATGGAATAATTTCAATCATCAGAATTCATTAAATAAAATATTTGTCTGTAACAAAAGTTTTCCCACCAGAAAACGTTCTTAATAAATTTAGAAACGGGGGGGGGGGAGAGAAGAAAAAAAAAGCAGTATCTTTAGAGCGAGTAGAAATCACCACCCAAATGTATGCTGCCAACGCTTTGGTAGCTTTTCAAAACCTATGGGCCCAGAAACCTGGTAGCCATAAGTCCAAACACAGATCAACCTCATTTCAGACATCCTGTGCAGAATGGAAGATCAAACAGCAAGATGTAGCTGCAGGTGTGAAAAAAGGCAGAAGTGCAAAGGAGCGATGGTGGGGCTATGTGGTAGGTGTGGCAAAAGATCTCATTTGAGTCTATACAGAGACCAGCCGGTGTCTTGCATTATCTTGGTGGAACACTACTTTTTTGCAGCATAGCATAACTCAGTTCAACGTTTTTGCTTGATAGCAGAGCCAACAAAGACTAGTGTCTCGCTGTACACCTTACTGTCAAGGGTTTTACCTTTTTCCAGATTCTCTTTGTGGATCATGACAATCCTACCAGATACAAAGCATGATTCTTTTGTTAGTAAAATTGCACTTAGCAGTGCTGCTGATGGACTCAGCGGGTGCAGACCAACCCTCCTTTATGCCTGTATTGTTGAAGTAAATCCACTTTTCATCACAAGTGATGATCCGGTGCAGAATTTTGTCCTCGTGCTGACATTCAAGTAGCTTAGTGCAGGTACAAACATGCATGTCTATATCTGCTTGAGTCAGCTCAAGTGGCACCCAACGACTGAACTTGTATGTTAAGTTTATGCGATTACCATTAGTCGCGCTAATGGACATAGCACTAACGTCTAACTCCTTAGCAAGCTCTCAAGTGGTTGCATACTGATCTTCCACAAGTTCTCACAGACAGGCCTCATCAACATCAATTGCAAGCTCTCAAGTGGTTGCATACTGATCTTCCACAAGTTCTCACAGACAGGCCTCATCAACATCAATTGGACAACCAGGGCACTCTGCTTCTTGAATGAATTTCATAGCTCTTGTTTTTTATCTTTCGGTACCAACCTTCACAGTGTCATACGATACAACATTAGTGAAAAAACTTATACACATGATTTGGTGAATTTTGTAGCTGACTTTCTGCAACAGAACTGGAAGTAAATGATGGTTCTAATATAGTAACATGATAGTTCCATTTCAGACACATTGTACTTAATGATAACGATATTTTTTTAAAAACACATTTCACAACACAGTGTTCTAAAGCAAGTCTTTCTCTTTCAAATGTCAAAAATTGTTTGACAAAATATGATCAAACATGACAATATGAACTGTTTGCGCAGATGATATTTGTGGTGGCGTGAAACTTTTGTTAAGACCTAATATTACAACAAACAACCTCTAAATATAATCTTAGCCATACTTTTAAAGAAGCTACTAAAATATAATCACACAAACATGTACAACTTTCCTTTTTATTCTAATACTAAAATAGACAAACATGTGCTGCCACCTTTTGTAATGATTTGATTTACACTGCATTTGTACACAAACACACATACACTCATGCATATATACAGTACAAAGTCCATAATACAGAGGTCCATTACCCAGAATGATCTATAATCTGGACCTCAAAGCCACAAACCTTTTTTTTTTTGTATGCTTTACGCATGTGCGTAATGCATTTAATGTATAACGGTATAAGCCAGGCTAAAATTATCTTTACTGATTCTGAGGCATTTCAGTTAATGTTGCAGATTGCGCTATTCCTTAATCTTCTAAATGGATCCGGCTTATTTTTTTTTATTTTTATTTATTTATTTATTTTTTATTTTATTTATTTATTTATTTTTTTTTTTTTTGCAGACTGTAAGAGCAATTTTATAAAAATTAAGTTTGAACATTTGAATATGTCAAAAAGCGTTTCCAATTCTGGAACTGCAAAGCAAAAGCATGTTTCGATGTCCATCAAGCAAAATGTGGAATTGCTGCAAATCGATAAAGGCATAACCGTCTCAAAATTATGTAAGAAATATGACATTGGAAAGTCAACTGCATCTGACATAAGCAAAAAGAAAAAGGAACTTTTTGAATTTTTTGTGGATTCCGACACCCCCACTTGCAATGAATAACAGAAAAAGGGTTCGTTATGCTAAAAGTGACAATCATGACAAAGTGATGATTGAATGGGTCAGACAGCGTCGCAGCGAAGGCGTGCCATCAAAGGTCCAATGCTAATGGCTCAAGCCAAAATATTTCATGAAGAAATGAACTTAAACACTGAGTGCACATATTCAACAGGTTGGTTAACTAAATTTAAAAATCGCCATGGTATAAGACAATTAAAAATTTCAGGTGAAAACGCTTCAGCTGATACTGAAGCTGCTGATATTTCAGCTGATACTGAAGCTGCTGAACAATTTGTAGATGAATTTATTGAACTCATTAATAGTGAAGAATTATCTAGAGAACAAATTTACAACACTGATGAAACTGGTCTTTTCTGGCAATATGTACCGCAGAATACCTTAGCAACCTCTACAGAAAAGGCTCCAACTAGTGCCAAAGATTCCAAAGCGAGACTAACAATTTTAGCGTGCGCAAATGCTGCAGGAATGCACAAGTGCAAACCTTTCGTAATCAGAAAACATGCACAACCTCGAGCATTTAAAGGCGTAACGATTTTCCCCGTTATATATCGTGCAAATAAAGGAGCATGGATGACACAAGCATTGATGAATGATTGGTTTGAAAATCATTTTATACCCGAGGCTTGGCGACATTTGAATTCGGTTGGTTTACCTGATGACTCAAAAATAGTCAGTGAAAGATAATGTATCCGTATTATTATTCCCTCCAAATTGTACGTCTATCATTCAGCCTATGGATATGGGAATAGCGCATGTGCTGAAATGCAAACATAAAGTAGCATTTTTAAAATCTATGTTAAATTTCTTGAACAATGGCAAGACTATTCAAGACTTTTTAAAATTTTTTAACATAAAATCTGCTGTTCAGAGCATCGCAAGATCGTGGGAGGATGTGTCTCCAGATATATTAAAAAAATGCTAGGCATAATATATGGCCAGCTACCATATTTCATGGTGAAGACGATGAAGATGATAGCCACGAATTTGAAAGTTCTCAGACATCTCAAACTAAAGGTGAAATTTTCAAGTTATTGGATTTTGTAAAGAAATGTGGAGAAATGATGATATAAACAGAAGTTTTTCATTGCGACACCAATGCCCCAATCATCAGTCAATTAATGGATGGCAAAATCTGTTGTATGGTTCTAAATCCAGGAAATACCGCTTCCAATAGTGAAGAAAGTGACAGAGAGGTTATTGAAAACAAAAAAATTTCGATCGACAAGTTAGTCGGTATCCTCGACACAGCAATTACAGACTTGAACAGTGGAACTTTGTAACTGAACAAGAAATTATGCCTGTTTATAGAATTAAAGAGAAAGTATTAGCGCAAAAAACGAAGCAACTTAAACAACTTACATTGAAAGAAATGTTTAATAAAGTAAACAAATAAATATTAAGCTTTTTCTTTTTTGTCAATTTTGATATCCTTTAGATCATAATTGCTCTTTATTTCATTAATTATGGTTTCATATTTTTTAATGTATAATTTCTGCATGCCATCTTACCAGATTTAAACTGATGTTCTATTATCCGGAAAAACCCCTAATCTGGAAACGCAGAAGTCCCGACGAGTCCGTATTACTGACTTTGTAATGTATAAGCAAAAAAAATAGAATATGATGCTGTATAACAAGTTGATTAATATTTTTATTAGAGATTATATTTCCCTGACATTTACCTCTTTTCCTTTTTATCCATGCTACATAATGACCACTTGAACTAGACCTGCCTTTATGGGTGAGGACAGCATTTAGTTCATAATAGCCACTGTTATTTGACCCAATATCTACACAAAAAATCAATACCATAAATTAAGGAGACAAATATAAATTTTAAGAATTTTAGTTTTAGAAGCAGAGTAAAAACAACTAAATAGTAATTACAAAACTTTTAAAACCAATATTTGAAATCAAAGAAAAAGTTTTTAACTGTTTTCTCACATAGAAAAAAATATTAAACTATTATTGAACATAGAAAATGCCGTGGTTCGCAAAACAAATATTTATTACTAAGTTATACGCAGAGTTACATGCAGAGAAATACAAGCAAACAGACACTGAAAATGTTTACAGAGGTCATATATATAACAGATCATTGTTTAACAAATCATAAAAAAGACACAATAAACAACCAATCAAAATTAACATAAAAAATAGAATTAAGTTTCAGAGTAATTCGGACCTGACTGAACACTAATGAATGTATCGGACGTGACAGAAAGCTATACTTCCTTTTAACCAGTAAGAATGCGATTACAAATATCTCAACACTCCCCCTTAATTGCACATTTATAGAAAAGATAAAAGAATTACATAACAAAGTCTGCTTGGTTATGCCTTAGTTAACATATCTGAAATTTGTAAACCTGATTGTACATATTCAATTCTAATATTATTTTCCTTAACAGTCTTACAAGTGAACTTTAATTTTATATCGATATGTTTCAACCTACCTGAAAAGTTTTCATTAACACAATACTTTTAATATATGACTGGTTATCTTCAAAAATATAAACATTTTTAACACTGGAAATTTCATTTACTACATTTTTTATCCATAAAATATCTTGAATACCTTTGCATAAAGCAATTATTTCAGCTTCTGTTGACGAAAGTGCAATACACTTTTGCTTGTCACAGCACCACATAATAGGACAATTTGAAAACATTATAAAGCATACTTGCCAACCTATGACACTCAAAAATCAGGAGATTTTTTTAAGAAATCGGGAGATTTTTCACAATGTTAAAAAGACTTTAAATGATGAAAATATAGTTTTTAATAATGAATTAATTTTAAATAGTAACTAATTCTTAAATGCAAGCAACACAAAAATACCTTACACATAAAAAACATTTTTATTACTTGCATCGTTTAAGAAAACGGAAAAAAAAAACTTTAATCAGTTTTCGTACAAATGTTATAAACAGTGACAGATTTTGCTTTCTTTAAGAAAGAAATGTCATAAGTTTGTTCATAGCAATTGCCACGTAGGCCTGCTTTCGCTAATAAAAGTTTTTTTTTAATGTGTCATCACGAATAGTAGATCTAAATTTAGTCCTCGTTTTCGCAACAACACTGAAAATCCTCTCACACTCTGCATTACTATGGGGAACTGTCAAGATGGCCAACAATAATTCTAGACAGTTCACACTATATTTTTCAAAATTCCATCAGCATCTTTTCAGTTTTCAATTAAACCAGGGTGTCAATCTGCTGAAAATTCGAATGAATGTTTAACGTTAAGTTCTTTTTCTTTAAATTTCAAAAAATAAAAAAAAATCCATTTTTAAGTTTCACAAAACCTTGCGACACGCATATTAAAATATATTTTAATCTTTAAAAAAATGCCTTAGAATAAGTCAGATGGACTTACTTAAGTGCCTTTAAGGCTTGAAAAAAATTCTGCGCTTTTATTTTTTACGGGGGGAAGGTGGGATACCGTTTGTCCCACCATGCAACTAGCACATGTCTTATAGCATATTGGTGTATAGCAGGGAAAAAAAATCATATGTGGAATGAATAAACAAAATAAAGCGTGCATTCTAAAATATTCATAATAAACACACTAAAATGCATTTTGTACTTATTGCATATATGCATGATATATTTTGCATATATATATTTAATATTTTTAAATTTTAGGAACAAAAGAAAATATTTTCTTGAATATTATTTTAAGATTAAAATTTGATACTCGTACATATGATACTAAATAAAATATTAAAATTGGCACTTGATTCAAAAACATTTTATATATGATTAAAATTGAAAAAAAGTCATTTTTCATGAAACTTTGAAAAACATGTTGTTTCATTCTTTTGTAAGCATAGAGGCACTTCACATGTTTCACACATCCAAAATGTTCGTCGTTCTTCTTTCGATGTGCTGCAATATGCACATCTTCTTCTCCTGCTCGTTCTCTTTGGCGTGTGACTTACATTTTTTTAGTCTCTTTTCTGGTTGTACGAACGGGTTTTTTTAGTTTTTATTTGAACTGGGGATTTCAGTTTTTTTTCTTTTCAGCTCTTTCTTGCCTGCAAGTGCCATTAGACCTTCTATAACTGAGAGAAGAAAATCTTTCATTGTTTTTACATCATGATCGGGTTCGCGAACAAACTTAAATAGAATAAATGCGTTTACTATACTCGCATCTAAAAAGTAAAAAAAAATCATGTGCCACCATTTCTTGCTTTTGCGGTCTATTTCATATAGTCCTTTCAGTTGATCAATCAGTCGACATATCCCATATTCTTATTGTATGAAATAATGCTGTTTGGGCACAGTACTTTTTTTTTTTTTTTTTTTTTTTTTTTTTTCCATCTCGTTCTTTTCTATTAATTTCTTTCTTTCTTTCATTTCAGTTGCCTTTTCCAAGCAAGACAGGATAGAAACGGATCTTTTATCCTTCCATTTTATGCAATAAATTGAATCATCGCTAACTGAAAAGTCTATATTCTCTTGACATAAATTGTCTTCTTTTAAATTTTGGGTAGTACTTTTTTATACTTCCGATTCATATTTACAGTGCCACATGCATAGATGGGTCTGTGTCTTTAAAAAGCGAAACAAATTATAACTACTTCCCTTTCTTCTTCAGCAATAACTTCAACCTCAGTTATTCTCTCCTGGATTTCAATTTCATCTGAATCAGAACTGACATCTGAAGCATTTGAGTCGCAATCGGATGGCAATTCAGCAAAAAGATCCAAAGCTTCCTGAGTTGTTTATTTTTTTTTTTTTCTAGACATTTTAGCACATCAGAGCATACAACGGATGTAAAAGCGCGCGCAATCACGAAAAAAAGTAGATGCAAAAAAGAAAAGAAAAAATAATCGTGAGTGCTGCCATCTATTGAGCGGAAATTCAAGTGTGTGTGGTGGGACAAATTTTAACCCACTTATTTCAACTGCAAAATTAATGTTATAAAATATTGAATCCAATTAAGATTTTTGAAAATAAAATACCTTTGAATATTAAAAAGAATCATACATATCATAAATTGTATACCAAAATTTTTAAAATATTGAAAAATGCGAGATACATGGATATCACTTTTGTGATCCTATTTTGAATATTTTTTGCTTATAAACTTAAGCCCTGGCATAGTAGTGACATCTATTGAGAAAAATAATGACTAAAATAGATTATTTTTAAAAGATTAGAAAATTTCTAACGGAAATTGCTAACTGAGAAAATAAATATTAATTAGGTGGGACATATATTGACCCACCATGCCGCAAAGGGTTAAGGGGTGACAGGTTCATAATCTGCATCTGAATTTTCTAAGATTGCAACACCAGTATTCAAGCCTACCAATATGGTGTATTATCGCACCTGCTAAGATTATACAGAGGGACACTTTCTTTTAAAGTTTTAATAATTAGTGTGGTATATTAAAGCTGTCAAATGTCCTTCTAAAGTGGGGACAGAAAAGTAAACTGCATTCAATTTCTGAAGACTCTGGATTATAAAAGAAACAACAATTGGATACAGTTTTGAATTGGTATTATTGCTTTTCCATCCATTAGAGAGGCAGAACGGAGCTGTTTTATTGCAATCAATAACTGATGATTTATTATTTTTCAAACCCATTTCTTTAACAATTGCACCTGTTTTGGTTCTTGCACTTGAATATTTTCTTAGCGATATATCATTATCGGGAAACATTTTTCTAAATAAAGCTGCAGCGTGATCCGATGCATTCAGTGGCAGGTTGTACTCCTGCAAAAAGGCAGTGAACAGACATTCTGCATTAATAACTTTTTGGTCCTCTGTTTCTGAAGAAAAATTTAATTTTCCGTTTTTTTTTTTTTTTTTCAAAACAACTCCTGTTGTCCTTGTGTTTTTGTGTACGCAGATGTTTGAGAACATCTGCCCTTCCACCATGCGAAATAAAAAAATCGCAATGACAGGCGGTACACATCCACCGCAAATTTATTACATTTCTCGAGGAAATAATGGAAGGAAAGTCAACTGTGTAGGATTTTTGAAACGTACATGAGTATTTCACCTTTCTCACAGACATAACAAAAGATGATAATTTCTAAAACTATTTCTCGAAGGCATGTGTACTCACACAACTCAGGACAAAATGACCGAAATAACTAAAGAACATCCAAATAACAGTTTGCGTTGTCCTCATTGGCTAACATATGCCAGATGACACGCAGTGGAGCACGATGCCCATTGGAGAACTGGAGAACGACCTTTCTGGATACATATATGCTCTCACTCACAAAGCAGAAGTTATCTAATTCGCAAGGTTTTGTTTTAGATATAAGCTAGAGAAAATTCAATTGCTTTCAGACGTCCAAAATCACTTTTTTTTTTTTTTTTGTTCATATAACAAAGCATTAAGCCAAGTTCCATAAAAATCTTGAGAAATTTTAAGAATAAGAAAAAGTCGGGAGAAATATCTTGTAAATCGGGTTGGCGGGAGAGCGGTCGAAAATCGGGAGAGTTGGAAACTCTGATAAAGTAACCAGTAATTGATTTCCAATCTTGAGTATCTCCCCCCCCCAATCTGCTTCTACATACAAACAGAAGTTTGCCTTTTCCAAATCACCCTTTTTGTATATCAGTTTTAAATTTAAGGTGTTTTTCAAGTAGCTAAGAATTCTCTTTAGAGCACACCAGGCAACATCAGCAGGATGCTCCTGCAGTTGGCTTACGCAATTTACTGCAAATAAAATATCTGGCCTTGTAATATATGCTAAGTAAAATAAAGATCCAATTAATTCTTTGTATGGGCCATGAAATGCATTTCCTTTCTGAAAATCAGCT